ATCTCAGTATTCAGGTTAAATGGCCTTGTTGGCACTTTGTGATCAATAAGTGGGTTTTGGGTCGCAGTTTGGGTACTCGGTCTCTAAAAGGTTCGCCACCACTGCCCTAGATGGAGCATTGCTTCCGAGATCTGCTGAGATTGGGATAGCCTGGGTGTGTGTGTGTGTGTATAAACTTCAAATCACATGTAAAAAACCCCGTTTTCCTGCATGTTATAGATGTGTTCCCGCATTTAAATGGAAGCGAAGATATTAAAAAAAACCCAGGTTATTCAAAGAGCATGCATAAAATATTCTAAGTCCACTAGGTTGATCCTCTGCCTAGCTTATTCTGTTGACAAAGAAATAAAAGTTTGCTGAAGGAAGACCTTAGAGACTGCCTGCCTGTGTTTTATTCCTGCATTGAGCGGGGGGTTGGACTAGATGGCCTCTGTGACCCCTTCCGACTCTGTGATTCTAAAGAAATAAAGTTTGCTGAAGGAAGACCTTTAGAGACTGCCTGCCTGTGTTTTATTCCTGCATTGAGCGGGGGGTTGGACTAGATGGCCTCTGTGACCCCTTCCGACTCTGTGATTCTACCACACACTACCTGCATGCCCGTCTCTGGTGGCCCTGGACAGCACATGCAGCCAGGAGCATGGGTGAGAGACAATGGTCCCTCCCTCTAAGCTGTGGGGTCTGGGACCTTCCAGATGCACGGTCTGGACAGCGCCACAAGAAGCCTGCGTCCAACCGACTGGTAAAATACCCGAGAATCAGGTTTGTGTGTATGCCAAGGCTTCCCACTAAGCTGTGGAGTCTTGTGAGCAAAAATTCTACTTGGTGAGCTACCGGCATTAAAGTTGTGAGCGAGACATTTGGCGGCTGCATCAATGAGTCTGCTCTGGAGCCCTCCTTCCTGAGTTAAGGCGAAAACGGGTGAGCCGGAGGCTGAAAAACTGTGAGCTAACTCACACTGACTCGGCTTAGACAGAACATTGGACTGACAGAGCTCTTTCAGGCAAGCGAGTGTGGGGGGAAGGGTGTCTGAGGTCAGTGGCGACGGGCCCCACCGCAAGCCCCGGGAGCTCCCCGACCTCAAACTACACTGACACTGGATCTGCATCCACCAAAGCATAAGCCTTTGGGGACAACAATGTGAGAGCCGTGCGATAAGCGTCTGGGCAAGAAACACAGCAAGAGCGGCTTCATATTGTTCAAATCTATCTTATTGGAAGAGGACAGGCCGAGTCATCGCAAGACGCGCAGTCGCTGAACCATGGAACAAACCCAGATCTCGGCTAGCACAACACGGCTCGCCTCGGAGACAACACCTAAGCGGTCCTGCTCCTTGCGCAACTGACTCTGAAGAAGAAAGCAGACCCGTTTCCCATACTTCTCAGCTTGGCTAGGCATGTGAGGGGGGCAGCGCTATCTGGATATCGGGCAGCAGGTTGCAGCTAGTGATGATGTCTATCTTGTCGGCCACAGCCTGCAAATCCTCCAGGACGAGCCGGATGCTATGCGAGGCATTGATGATGCCGTTCTGGGAGTCGCTGAGCTGCCCGGTGATGGCCCCGATCTCTCGGATGGCCGTCTGGTAGACCTGCTTGACGGTGCTGCTGACGTCGTGGTACAGGCGGGCGTTGCTCTCGATCAGCTTCTGTTGCAGCAGGGTGCTGTAGCAGCCACGGGACCTGACGTGGAGGGCTGGCTTCTCCTCCACCGCCACGGGGGACCCCGCCTCTTCATTCCTGTAGACGATCAGTGGGGGCAGGTCTGGGCTGAGCAGCCGAGGCTCCGGCTTCGGTCCACCGGGGTCCGCGTCTTCTTCCTCGTCTGTTTCGGAGGCCTCCCCTAGGACTTTCACGCCAGAAAGGCCGGGGACCGAGGCTGAAGGTACAGAGGACAGATAATCCTCGTCCTCTGAATCAGTCTCCGACGCTTCCCCCTCAACCACAGTGCTGTTCCTTGGGGCAGCCATCTTTACGCCACCTGCAGAGGGAAAGGCTGAACATGAAAATACAGTTGCGCAGTGGGGGTAAGATGTCGGGATCCCATCAAATGTGATCAGACGGGACCTAAGGTCAAATCTCATAGCTGCGGCAAGGACCTGTCTAGTTGAGAGGGAAATCCCATCTTGTTCCTACGACTGAATGTTGGTTCACTACAGTTTGGGATCTCTTTATAACGGAAAAGATTATGGACCACATATGACACACAGAACGTTTCCCCAAGCGGCCTTGCTTCTCCCCCAAAATGGTTTCCGTTCTTTAAAGTATGTCACGGCCAATGACACCCAACCAGTGTTCCCTCTAAGCTGTGGAGTCCTGTGAGCAAAAATTCTACTCTGTGAGCTACTGGCATTAAAGTTGTGAGGGAGCATAAGAACATAAGAGACGCCAATGTTGGATCAGGCCAAAGGCCCATCCCGTCCAACACTCTGTGTCACACAGTGGCCAGAAATACCAGTGTCATCAGGAGGTCGACCAGTGGGGCCAGGACATTAGAAGTCCTCCCACTGTTGCCCCCCCAAGCACCAAGAAGACAGAGCATCATCGCCCGAGACATAAGAACATAAGAGAAGCCAACGCTGGATCAGGCCAGCAACCCATCCAGTCCAACACTCTGTGTCACACAGTGGCCAGAAATACCAGGGGCCATCAGGAGGTCCACTAGTGGGGCCAGGACATTAGAAGCCCTCCCACTGTTGACCCCCCCCCAAGCACCAAGATGACAGAGCATCACTTGCCCCAGAGTCCCTATCTATACCTTGTGGCTAATAGCCACTGATGGACCTCTGCTCCATATGCTTATCTAATTCCCTTTTGAAGCCGTCCATGCTTGTAGCCACCACCACTTCCTGTGGCAGTGAATTCCAAGTGTTAATCACTCTTTGGGTGAAGAAGGACGTCCT